AATAGTCTATTTATTAGGTGCACAAGATATAAGTATATGCAGATATATCTATATGTACATAAGGGTCCTTGAACTCTATATCTACAGTGTTAAATATGGAAAGGCCTAGATGTAAAATCAGATTACTTGTATGTCTGTCTCCACTCTCTTAATTTATCTGTACAATTTATTCTATCTGTCTGTCTGTCTATCACTCTATCTATCACTCTATCACTCTATCACTCTATCTATCTATCTATCTATCTATCTATCTATCTATCTAGTAGAGTTTTCAACCTGTTGGTCTACTATTTGTTATTGCAGTCATTGATGCTCATAGAAAAGTTGCAAATTGCATGTGAACAGTTCTCTGAATACTCATTTGTAGAGTTGTGCAGAGCATCATGAGAATGACAAAGGGGACAAATAATAACAATAACCTGAGAACTAGATACTCCCTGGTGGTAAATTATAAAGTTGAATCTCAAAAGATCCAACCTTAATTTTATAGCATCTGATGTAAACAAACTCAGTAATTTTTACCCTCAATGGACACATCCCACAAAAGAATACTCTTCTGTACCTAAAAAAAAAAATTGTTAGACACCTTGATCTTCATCTTCTCATTTGGGTGAAGTGGTGTTTTGGAACTTCATGTAAGATTGCTGTTTTATTTTGAGTGTGTGTAAATGTCATTTCCTGCAATAAAACTCTTCTAGCAAGTGATACATTATCTGTACTAGTTGCAATCACAGACTTCATTACCACTAACTTTGGTTCTCCTTGAACAGTGAGAAGTAATGTACCAAGAGGTACTACCAAAGCAAGAATATTTCTAGATGACCAATGGTGAGCATCAACAATTTCCCTTGAAATTCAGAGTTTCAGAAATCTTGAGTTTTGGAAGAAATTCCATATGCATTATTCTTTTCAACCCTAATTAACAGGAAAGCCCAAAGGAAATGGAATAAATTGTATACTGAGTCACTGAAGGACAGTTGACATCTTTTTTGGTGGATACATATTATTGGTAGAGGAAACAAAATAGGGATTTCTTAGGAATCATCATGAAGACATGTTTACTCTTGGAAGTCCAGTATTCTCTCAACTCATGCTTGCAAATCACTAGATCAGTATTCATTTCCATATCAACTTGGAGTGAAAAATGCGCTATTGGTTAAAGTTAATTTGTATAATTTTTCTTGAAGACGCTACACATGAAGCAAATGATTATGGAAAATGACTCTTCAGTATCTGAGTTCATTCTTATGGGACTGACAGATGAGCCTGACTTCCAGCTGCCCTTATTTGTTCTGTTCTTGGTGAACTACACAGCCACTGTGATGGGAAACTTGAGCTTAATGAGTCTCATTAGCTTAAACTCAAACCTTCACATTCCCATGTACTTTTTTTTTTAATCTGTCCTTCATTGATTTCTGTTATTCACTTGTCTTTACTCCCAAAATGCTGATGAGACAAGAACACCATCTCCTTCAGAGGATGCATGACTCAACTATTTTTCTTGTGAGCTCAGAGCATTATGTGCTGACATCCATGGCCTATGATCACTATATGGCCATCTGTCAGCCACTGTTGTACAAGGTTATCATGTCACCTGAGATATGTTTTATGCTGATGTTTGGTTCTTACTTGACAGGATTTGCTGGGGCCATTGGTCACATAGGGTGCATGATCAGGCTCAGTTTTTGTGATTCTAACATGATCAACCACTACATGTGTGACATCTTGCCTCTCCTCCAGCTCTCTTGCAGTAGTACCTATGTCAATGAACTTGTGAGCTTCGTTACAGTGGGTACAGTTATCTCTATCTAGCTTCATTATCTTAGTCTCATATGCTCTTATCCTTTCCAATATCATTCAAATGTCATCAGCTAAGGGTTGGTCCAAAGCCTTGGGGACCTGTGGGTCTCACATCGTCACTGTTACTCTCTCCTATGGATCTGGGTTGCTTGCATATGTGAAACCATCCTCTGCTGAAACTGTGGGTCAGGGGAAGATTTTCCCAGTCTTTTATACCTTCTTGTTGCCCATGCTGTATCCTCTCATTTACAGTCTTAGAAACAAGGATGTCAAGCTTGCTGTGAAGAGAACCATCTAGACTCTTAGAACACTCTTTTACTGGAAGGAATAATCTGTTTTCATATTCTTCTGACTGAGATTTATTCTTACGTATTTTTATGCAGAGGCCTGAGAGTCAGGTCAGTATGGCATTAGGCTTGGAGTTAGAAAATTATTGACTGAAATAAAAAAATGATCTTATGGGAGACCTTGAAAGTCCTCCAGAGGCTCAGGACCCCAGGATCTCAGCCCAGGACTGAGGCAACCCCAATCACCAGGAGGCGAAAAATTGATGCAAACAGCATGAGGCTTTATTGCAGTTGTTTAATGTTCTAACCCCATGTTAGCTCGGGCCTTTCATCCATCCACCATGGTGGATGGCTAGGAAAAGGCTCTGAGAAGCCACGGGCCTGAGATCTTATAGGACAGTGTAAGGGGAGTGTCTAGGGGTAAGCACAGGCTCAGGATTGGTGTGCCTTCAGGCTTGGAGAACTTGCCCTGTATTGATTGGTCAACTGGTTGTTATGGCCCATAGGCCCTCCCTGGGCGGTTGCTGTGCTCTGCATGTCATTGCTGTGCACTTGTCCATAAAGCACACCCAGAGCCGTAAAGCAAAGCACCACCAGCTAACTTCTGATTAGTTCCTTGCCACGAGGCAGGCATCTGACCTCCTAGTGACCAAGGCAAGGTCAGACAAGCAGGTGTTAGGCTGCTATGGCTGCCAAAATGGGGAGCTTGTCCCTTCAACCTCAGAAGAAAAGGTTGTATAGCTGTGATGAACAATGTAAAAGATGTGTCATTAATAAGTGTTCCATGGCTATTTCTGACAGACCAAACAAGTGCTCCTGTGTGAAAGGAAGGAGGGGTGAACACACATACACATACAGATGAGAGAGAGAGAGAGAGCGAGAGAGAGAGAGAGAGAGAGAGAGAGAGAGAGAGAGAGAGAGAGAGTGAGTGAGTTTTTTTCCAAATTCCTGAAAATAAACTTGTTTCCCTAAGGTAATCTCTATTAGAAACAGAATGCAAAGACATTTCCCCAGGCTTGTCTACTCCCTATGCTTTGAGAGCATTCTTTGGCTTTTTTACATTAACTCTTTCTCCCTAAATTTCCCATTTCCAATTTCCCTGTCCTGAAATTTTCCTCTAATGTGATCCAGGCTGAAACCCTCAATTCTCTGATAAGACTAATGAGATTTGTTTACAGTTAAAGGTCAGCCTAATATAAAAGTGTTTGCAGATCTGTAAGTCCCAGTGTTTTTCTCATTTTACAGTCTTTTTGTAAGTGTTATGGCTTTAGTCTTTGTATTTAGATAGATGGCATGTTGTGTATTAATTTTTGTGTGTAGTGTACATAATTCTTAATTTTATACTTAAACTTTCTTCATATTTCCAATGTCCTTTTGTTCAAAATAGTCCCCATCAGAAAAAATACTTCAGCGTGTCATTTTCTGAAGGAGATTGCTATGCAATGCACATTTGATAATATCTAGAGGAATGTTGTAGGCTATAGTTCATGTGTGTATAGTAGTGAAGAGGAGAGCATGTCATGAAATGAGCCAAATAATCTGTTTTGTTTCCACTATACATGAACAATAGCACAGCAATAATGTTGTTTCTTAAAGTGTGTCAAAGAAATGACAACTTCACTTATCTGAATAAGCACATGAACAGTATAAGGAAACAAACACTGTTGTATTTTTATTTATCCAGTAAACTTCTAATACATTGTGTAAATTGTCTCAAAACATGACAGGTCTTTTAATATTTTAATTTATTATTCTTTATACAAATTGTGCCCATAAATTTCTGTTTGATAACCAAGAAATTTACTACTGGTCTAGAATTTAATCAGTTTTTATTAGTCTTTCTTATGGTTATTTATAAAAACATGCATATATAAATAAATAAGGACCAGCATAGTCGATAGTTTCATATCTGGGAAGTGGAAAGCTCTAATGTAAATTTGCAATAACAGCCTATTTAATGTAAATTTGTACTAACATAAGAGCCTATTCATGCTTTTATCCCTTTCATACAATTATTTTTGTACAGCATTAATCCTTGGTCAACAATTTGTTACTGAAATCATAGGAAAGTTAAAATGGCAAGTGAGTATGTCCCTGGATATTTCCTCTTGTGAGTGAGTTGTGCAGAGATTAATGAAGAGAATGACAAAGGGGACCACTCACAGTTCTGCCCTGGGGACTAGATACTCATGGAAACTGAGTAGAACTTTTAATCTCTAAAGGACTGGTGTTATTTCTGGGGCACAAAATCAATAACTTCTACTCTAAAGGGATTAATCAAACATGGGGAATATCATAAAGAAGATAATAATTTTCAGTGCTTCTAATGAATTTTCTCAAAAATCTTGACAATGAGACATTGGAGACTCATAAAAGAAAGTCATTGTCTTTTTTGTGTTAGACAAAAATCTTTGTGAAAATCTCAGAGACCCTGTCATCTCTTCTAGGGAGCATCCTCTAGCAAATCCAACACATTGTCCCTACTGAATGCAACTGCTTACTCCATTAATGGCAACTTTGGCCCACTGAGCACAGTGTGGAGGAAGATGTCATGAATTCCCATGTCAGGGAAGGACCCAAGTGAACCAAGGTGAGCACTGAATAATCTTTATTTTGACATGTCACCTTCAAAACCACAACTATATAAGTCCTAGGTTCTGAGGAAAATGTAAGCATTTCTCTTTTCATCATTAATCCTTAGTAAACTCTTAGTGAAAAAAAGGATGTAATGTTCAAGAATCTTTCTGGAGTGATAAACACAACATGGATAGAGAAAAGAAGAAACAGAGATTACTCCATATTCCTTGTTCCTTCACTCAAAATTGGAACTCAGTAAATCCAACTCTGCTGTTGGAGTGAAAGATCGTTTATGGTTTAAATTTGCTTTCTATACTTATTTTTGCAGATGCCACAATGATGCAAATGGTTATGGAAAATGACTCTTCAGTATCTGAGTTCATTCTTAGAGGACTGACAGACCAAGCTGAGCTCCAGCTGCCCTTATTTATTCTGTTCTTGGTGAACTACACAGCCACTGTGATAGGAAACTTGGGCTTAATGAATCTCATTTGCCTAAACTCAAATCTTCACACTCCCATGTACTTTTTTATCTTCAATCTGTCCTTCATTGATTTCTGTTATTCACTTGTCTTTACTCCCAAAATGCTGATGAGTTTTGTTTTGGAGAAGAACACCATCTCCTTCAGAGGATGCATGACTCAGCTGTTTTTCTTCTGTGTTTTTGTGAACTCAGAGAGCTATGTGCTGACAGCCATGGCCTATGATCGCTATGTGGCCATCTGTCAGCC